CACAAAGAAGAAGAAAAACAACTATCGGATTTTTTTTAGCCAAGATAAACTATCAGTCAGTTAAATATAAAAATGTGAGAAAAGAATGATCAGCTCTTAAAATATGGAAAAAATGTTAATGGTGCCTTAAAACAGCAAAGCTCGAAAGAACTGCAGGGTTGTTACAGAAATTCCTATTTTGAATCCGCAAAATCATTTGGTAATCCATGCCAGAAAATCATATCCACGCTATTAAAAAATATTGAATTTCCTTCTCAAATACCAACAAGCAATTCATAATACACTCAACAAATTTTTTAACCAGCGCTGCCCAACGTGTGGCCCGCGGTATCTGGATCTCAGCAAGGATATCAGTCTAGCTCAATTTTATTCATCATTATGAATTTTAGCCCAGAATTAATGAGAAATAAATAAAATGCATCTTGAAACACGTTAATCCATCAAATATACAGCCATTTAAAAAATCAAGTTTATAAAGGTTGGGCAGGCCTGCTCTTAACACTTCCAAAACCTTCAATAGAACTATCAGAAACATGAACATGTTGTACTATTGGAATTTGAACAACTTTCAAAAACTAGCAGAACTCATCAAATTTCTACAACTTCTGCTCGGAGAAATTTCATACTTTTCAGAATTTTCAAAGCTTGCACAATACAAGCGCTATAGGCGAAGCTAAGGAATGTTGAGATCACCAAGAAGCCACCGAGCTAAAGTTGTTGTTTTGACGTAGGACTACGTCTTTGATTTATATATGGGGGTACACTTTGTGAAAACCGAAAATGGAACATGTAACAAATTAAGAAAGATTTTGAACGTTAATAACTCAGCTGCCCCTGGTCCAATTTCAATAATTTTATCACCAATCGATCAGAAATATGGCTACGCATTGATAACAATTTTTCTGAATGTTGATATTCAACAAGAAACTATTGAAAAACTGGTTGATGTCCAGCATTGTCCAAAAGCTTCGAACTAACTAACAAATCCACCAATAACCTACATGCATATGCTGCTTCCCCAGCACAGTCGTCAGAGAGTAGTAAGTAGACGAAACAAGTCGAAGTGGCATTCGCCTCCGATCCTCGGGCACGTGCGAATAGGGAGGATGGAATTGCGTAATATTTTGCACACTCATCGCCATATTCAGAACCAAACGCAAATTCTTCAAGATAACCACCATCCGTTGTCTGGCTCGCCGTGGCGGTGTCTGACGTATCTTCGGTTTGATTTACGAGGTGTGCTGAAGGTGTTCCTGAAAAATGAGATCCGTGATGCTGTCACCTACACTAAACATGCCAAACGTAAGTGGCCATGGATGTCCTCTTCAATAAAACGGCCCTTTTCAGGGCCATCAAGCTTACATCAGTAAAGAGTTGGAATAGAATTTATCTGTGCTTGTTTGTCCATATTCAGAACCACAAGCCCCCAACGTGGTCGTTGGAAGCAGGGGTGCAAGTGATTTTGATTGATTCTCGTAATCAACTTTCTTTTTGAAAAAGATTACTACAAATTTGGTACGCCTACAATTCAAAAACGGAAAGAGTTGAGATAATAGATATTTTATCAATTAAAAGAACTTAATGCTCTTCACATTTATTCCGTCCACTAGCGGTCCTACGTCAAGCATCCGTTCGTGCCCCTAGGCACAGACCCTTCTACTTTTTTTTTTTTAATTTTAGCAATCCTTAGCACTCGCGTTAATACATCACATCTTCACAACATCTTCAAAACCTTACCAAACCTCCAGAAACATTACAGAACATTATAGTAGAAACGCCACACTTACTTTAAGACACAGCCTGAATTCCCTCCGTCTCCAAATAAATTTTAAAACGGATAAATCTCGCGTAACTTTACAAATAGACCAATGTAACATATCCGCCATTTTGAGAAAATCGAAGTTAAAGTTCGACACATTATTATTTTAGCTGTTTGGAAACAATACATTTTGCAATACTATTTTTAATGTGGTCAGTATTCACGTTAGCGGCACCGGTGGTGTAGTGGTAAGCGTGATTACCTCTCACCCCAGCAGGCCTGGGTTCAATCCCAGTCGGCGCCGCCGGGATGTTCTGAGGCATAACATCTCTGATTAGGGAAGTAAAGCCGTTGGTACCCGGTTCATGAGTTGATGGGTCGATAGGTAGGGTCCAGGTGTAGGAGCTGCCTCCCTGGCATTGGTAGGCAGTATTAAGCAGCGGTAGCATTGGTGCTCAGCACGGAAAACAAGATCAACGGAAAAAAATTAAGAAAAAAAGTATTCACGTTGAAAATTTAGTAGAAACGGTAAAATCATAATTTTACTTTGAATTTCATGCTACAATATAGAAAAAAAACCTCATTAGACGTTTTGACTAGTCAAGTTGTACATCGGCCATGTCACATTGGACGATTTTCTCAATGACATAATCAATGAGTGTTACATCGGACGTTTTGTTCTACAGATACTAGATTCCCTTTCACAGATTTCAGAGTAGAGTACCTAACTTTATGTTGGTCCCGCCTTTAGAAAATGAGCTCCTATCATGTTTGGCAGTCCAAATGATCGAAGTAACAATCATGCACCCACTATTTTAAACTGTTCATTGGAAAATTGTTGACCTATGATTATCTTAAATAAATTAAAGTAAATTTGGATGGGTGATTTTGTATTACATACAATGATAGAAGAGCAATAGTTTGTATCGCTTAACTCGATTTGTTTACATTTGTTACTTAGAACCTTTTGAAAAAATGACGCGAGAAATGACCTTTAAACCGTCAAAATAGCCTTGAAATCGCAAAAAATTGCAAAATAAAATGAAATTGGACTATAACTTCTTTAATATATTTCTAAATGGCTTGAGTCCTCTCCAAATCACTACTAAAATGTCACAGTTTTCTTAATGATCTAAATACGCTGACATGTTTCTTAAATATGCCATAATTGACAACTCGAATTGAGAAAGTGCAGAGGAGCTTCATCCGTTACGCGTTGAGGTTACTACACTGGAACGACTCTTCAAATCCCTCCCGAGTACGCAAGTTGCTGTAGAATCGCTGATCTAGAAACCTTACAGTCCAGACGCGCTGAAACCCAACGAATGTTTGTATTTGATTTGTTAGCGAAAAGCATAGATTGTTCAGAACTACTCAATGAAGTATAATTCTACACTCCATCTAGATAGCTCCGTGGCAGACAACTACTAGCTATTCGCCCACACAGAACCACCTACGGTCAAAATATCCCCTTGTCTAAATGTTTCTGTGTGTTCAATAAAGTGAATAATTTTTTCAACGTAAAATTAGGAACTTAGCATGAGTTTACAGTCTGTAGGATTGCTTTTAAAATCCAAGACGGTGAAACAAAAATAAATAATTCCGTAATCCAGGGGCAAGTTGAGCACCTGCGTGAAATAGATAAAAATGCCATGCATTTTCAGCTGTCCCATATACAATTTCCGGTAATAGATATCAAGAGAAATCATAATAGTATTTCATCAAGGGACTCTAAAGATTGTGTTGATGAGTGTACAAAAAAAAGTTTATTTTAGTGCATTAGTTTCCATTTTATTTTACTGGCATTCAATAGCTTACAAAATCATCATCCAAACACGACTGTTGTCTTCAGCTTGGCAGTGTTTTCTTTTGACTAAACTAAATGTTACTGAATTTGAATTATATCAATTGTAAAAAAAAAAGCTTGCAATATAATAAAATTAGAATATTATCGTCAAATTTCTAAAGACTCAAGCACAAGAATAGCGGAATCTGAACGGCAGGGGCAGCGGAAAATCCTGATTTGAGTAAGCCTACTTGTCGGATTTACAACTAGTTGGAACCAAATCGACTTCGGTTAGGTATCTTGATGTCATTAGTGACAACTGTCAAACTTTCCGTTTTCGCTTCCGCCCACATTGCTTCAAACGCAGTTCTTTTTTCGACGCATCAATAAAGATTGCAAAAAGTTCTCGTCATTCTATTCCTTTTGCTATTATACACAAAAAGACGCGAGCTTTTTGTAGTTCGATAAAAACAGGGTTTGATTTTTTTGAATCTGCATCAAAGTAAATTGCAACTTAATTTAAAGCTTTCTATGTCTACCAATGCATAGATTTGTATATAGTGTGGCAAGCACAATGATAATATATGCTCAAGGAAGTCGAAAAATTTTCCAACCGAAAGATTTCCTCGAACCGCCGCTTCCAGCTTGGTAGTACCGTGCTTTTACTGAATCTGAAGCCCCTAATTATAAAGCACTTTTATTATAAATGAAGTGGGAATCTATATGAAAGGTTGATAAATTTCACCCCATATCGTCATTTTACAATTTGAGACATCCAAAAAATATGCAAAAACATCCAATATAATTAGTTATCATGTAGAACGATAGAGCCTCACAGCAACTAGTTTTAATAACATTAAAACTTAAATACGATTGAAATCGCATTGAGTCGCTTAATGGTTTTAAATATTATCAAAATAAGTTCAACACTCAAAACGACCTGAACACCTTCCTTTCCCTTGAATACACCAAAATGACCTTAAAACGAACAATTGGCCAAAAATAACCAAAATGACTCAAACAACATAAACACTGTTTTTATTAAATGATTGAAAAATTAAATGTTGCTGTGAGTTGTCCACCATTTACTAAATACTACATACTATACTATATACGAGGATTTGATTCCCCTATTCAAAGGAAACCGTTCTGCTTTAAGCAAAAGCCAGACTGTTTCCATGAATCGGAGTAAAAATGAAGTTGAACCGATTTTGTTTCTTATTCAAAATCTCCCTGCAATATCCGGAAATTGGATTTCCCGTTTCCTCCACCATATGCTCCACTAACACACCCGTTGTTGTATGCAATGCACAACAATTATTCTCCACCAGGTAAAACAGACTCTGACTGAAAACCATAAGAAAGCATTTAAACCGTATAGTCCAATATCAATTCGAACGCCGAACGCCGTGCAATTTTGCTCCCATAAATTCCATAATTGAAACTGAATCTTACCACTATGCTGCTGCTGATGGTGGTGCTGCTGATGTTGTGGCTCGAATTGGCCGTGTTGACAAGCACCTCAGAGAGCTGAACGAGTGCGCACACGTTATCCAACACCCCCGGTATGGTGGTGCCGTGCTGCAGAGTATGATAGTCCAAAATAAGCCTTAGTTTAATAAATTGGGCACAAACAACAGCAGAGTCGATTTTGCCTTTTTCTCCACTCTTATTTTCGCGCGACTTACACGGTGACCACTAGTAAAGCTTGGAGCTTGGGGTGGAAAATATGCGCGGCTATGTATAATTCAATAAATTCAAAATAATCAAAGTGAAACTCCTATTTTTCTCGCTTTGCTACACATCACAAACCACGACACACGCCGAAATTCAAAAGCACTTTTCTTCCTTCCAACAACTCCTTCTCTGCGGGGACGGGTTCAGTCGATTGTGACCAGACAAAAAAAAAACTTTTAGCGGCTGCTTAGGCACGGTTAATTGAATAATTGAAAACGATCGTAATAGAGCTTCAAGAGTCGGTCGGATCCACACAAGGCTATAACTTCCACCAGATGATTAGATAACTCACTAGTTTTCTTCGTCGTTTTTAATGTCAACTTGAGAAATAGAATCAACATTCAACAGTGCCAATTTTGGACCTACGATAACCTTTTACTAGCGGCACGAATCCTCAAATTGAATACAATTTACTGGGCTGCCCGCTCCAACTGCTATCACGCCAACGCTTCTTGGTATGAGACTTGGGTCTTACGATCGGTAACGGTGTCTTTCTTCTCTTCACCAAGATCTGCAGCAACCTCGCCACATTCGTTCCACTCAGGCACCTCCACTAAATAATACACATATACAGCTCGTGGCCAAGTACAAATTCCGTATGTTTTCGCCTTTGCACCTTCTTCCTGCTTCTTGGGCACAAGTTCAAAGCTTCGAAACAAAAAATCTCTTCGTTCTCGTTTGCCTCCGGCCGAACTCGGAACCACTAAAGTACACCTCTTCACGACTGTTTCAGAACGAACGATTTTATATTCTTCTTTGAAGTTTCTTCCTTTCTTCCTTCCTTCCTTGTTTCCAGAGTCGACCAGGATTAGCACATATCACTCGACACCTTAGCGTTTGCCTTTTCCAAATTCATATACTCTTCTGCGAAAAACCTTTAAATTTAGTTTCACCTCAAACTTGCAATTCGTCTACGGCAGCACACTATCCGTTAAAATTCATTAGCAAAGATCTTCCAATTTTCCAAAATAAAACAAAACAAAACTCCTGGTGCGGTATCCCTCAAATCTAACGTTCAACAACAGTATCCATCTGATAGTACCGATAAATAGAAGTAGAACTACGAGAACAACGAACACACGCGATCCGACAACGCGAGCTCTTTACATCAACGACGACGATGAATGCACGTCCAACTCCGATAGCGCCTCGATGCGAAATGTGCGAGAGTTGCTATAGATTTAGTGGAGTTGGTGAGCACCTCGCCTTGCAACCTGCGAGTGAGTTCCTACCGCTCGCTCGCTGCAAGCGCGGCAACCATGGCGACCATGCTGAGTTGAGCCATTCCGTCGTCGCGATCGCGCAGATAAGCTTATTGCAAAAGCAACATCCAGAGTGTTTACAGCAGTGCTGAGAGAAGGCTTGCAGAATCACTCAGAAGAACTACTTTGGCTGCCGAGATTGGAGAGCATTGCTGTGGGTGTCTGGTTGGAGCCCTGGTACCTAATATCTCTCACGCTTACAGGGGAGTTGGCGTTTGTGCTAATGTTTGAGCAAACCGTGATCGATTCAGCTATTAGTACGATCATGTAGTTGATATCGTGAATATTTTATGAGAAGGAAAGACTGGAATTTTGCTTGTTCAAAATGTGTGTGCTTTTCTAGTACCTTACTCTCTATCAACGAACATTAACTCGATAATAACTCAAATAGATCATTTGGTAGAGATTGTTTGAGAAAGTTTATCATCTTAATGCTCTATACAACACTCCCTATAGAGAATTTTCCTTTTAAGCTAGGGTAAAGAGCCATTTATGGCACTAGTGCTCCAGTTTTTGTCGCTATGGTCTAACTCAAATTTGAAATAAATTTTCATGGCTTTATTCGCATTGGCATAAGTCAAAATATTTGTTCAACCCTGCATGGAAAATTATGTGGTAAAAAATTAAAAAATATAAATAAAATAGGGCCAATTAAGGAACGTCTTGGGCCAAAACCCTATGTAATTCTCGTGTGTTTTTTTTATAATACTTGGATCTTACTACTCACAACATAGATGACAAATAATGGAAAATGTAAGTGTGTCATCCTGGCATATACATGTTAATATTCAATTAATAATTTGTATAAACGATATACAGAATTTGTAATGTTTCATCGTATGAACAAATTTTGTAAGGCTTGGCGTTGGACGCTTTTTCAAATAATTTTGAAAAATATGGATTTTATGGAATGTAATGGCAAGAGCTTCTTTTATCCGATGGAATATTGTGACATATTGAGCTAGAATTAGGAGATGCAACAGTCTTTGAAGTTTTTGCTTCACCAGCAAACCATCATTTGTTTGGTGAGTTAGTTCCTGTTTATTTATTTACCTGTTTCGGTACCTTTTATCAGTTTTCTACAACCTTTGTCTTATAGTACGTTCAGACTATAGCTGATTTTGAAGTCTTCTTCTTCTTCGCTTTTCAAGCTTATTGCATATCGCATATTAGCTTATTGCGTGCTCTCGACTTAGTGTTCTAGATGCACTTCCACAGTTATTAAATGAGAGCTTTCGATGCCTGCAAAAATGGTAATTGGTATAATTGTGTGGCAAGTCCAATCATACTTCTATGCCCAGGGAAGTCGAGAAATTTTCCAACCCGAAAAATTCCTAGACCTGACCGGGAACTGAACCCAACCACCTCCAGCATGGTCTTGCTTTGTAGCTGGGCCTTTACCGACTGAGCTAAGGGAGGCCCCCAAAACTAGATGTATGAGTGCTCATTCCAAGGCAGCCTATATTACATGATTGTTTATTGTTTATTGTTGTTTTACATCAACAGGCTGGATGAAGCCCCAATGATTTTAACCTTATCAACTATGGTGAAAAAAAAATACATTCAAGCATGGTCATAACATAAAAAAACATTAAAAACGTATATCTCATAGCTCCTGCCGAACGGCGCCGGTGGTGTAGTGGTAAGCGTGATTACCTCTCACCCCAGCAGGCCTGGGTGCAATCCCAGTCGGCGCCGCCGGGATGTTCTGAGGCATAACATCTCTGATCACGCCTTCCTTCGGATGGGAAGTAAAGCCGTTGGTCCCCGGTTCATGAGCTGATGGGTCGATAGGTAGGGTCCAGGTGTGGAAGCTGCCTTCCTGGCACGTCGGTAGCATTGGTGCTCAGCACGGAAAACATGATCGACGGAAAAAAAAAAAAAAAAAAAAAAAAAAAAAATAGCTCCTGCCGGCGAAAAACAGAAGAAAACTTTCGACGAAGCGCATCACGGGAGAGATGAAAGTCGAAAACAGATGCAACTCTGTTGCATGTTCTCTGCAGTCCGCAAATCGCACCGTACGCTCCATAATTTGTGCGACGTAGAGGCAGTCTTAGCATAAGGTTATTACGAAGCGGTCGGGGTTGAACAGTCAGGTCAATTTGCCTCAGGATAGCCTCACAATCTGTCCTTCCTTGTAGGATATCGGCCACGGTTAGGGCTCTGTTTGTGTCTCTTCTAGTCCGGAGAAGTTCTAGGTCGTAACTTGGTAATCGAAACGGATCGTTCCAAGGCAATCTACGCAACGCAAAACGAAGAAAGCGACGTTGAACAGATTCAATTCTCTCGGTACCGTTGTTGTAGTTGCCGACCGGTAAGATATGATCGAAACCAACTCAGAAGATTACCACATACACCGAGCCTGCCGAGTTTAGCAATCGCAATAGCATGGTTCAACTTGTCGAATGCTGCGGATAGGTCTGAATAAATAACGTCCGTTTGAACCCGATCCGACATGCTTTCGGTTATATACGATGTGAGACATAGCAGATTGGTAGTTGTAGAGCGGCCGACAGTAAACCCATGTTGATCAGCACTCAAATACTGCTTGCAATGGGACAGCAACGGTTCCATAATCACTAGCTCGAATAGCTTCGAAACGGCACTTAACGATGTAATTCCTCGATAGTTATCAACAGGTCGTTTCCTTCCTTTTTTGTGGACGGGAAACATGTGCGCAAATTTCCAGCAAAATGGAAATATGCCACCTGAGAGAGACATTCGGAACAGGCGAAGAAGCGGAATTAACAAGCCAGCAATATGTCTCTTCAAAAATACAGATGGAACTCCATCAGGTCCAGGATTGAAGGATGACTTGAGCAGAGTCACGGCCTTAGAAATCATTTCTGCATTAACATCAATTGCACCCAGCGTTTGATCGATTACTGGAACGTTCCTGGCAGCCAGGTTAATATGGTCGTCAGTTAGTGTCTCATTAGTGAATACACTGGAAAACTTTTCGGAAAAAAGGTGGCATATATCCTGAACAGTGGCAGCAACTTCTCCGTTGAATTCCATAGACGATGGGAGGCCGGATTCCCTGCGTTGCTCGTTCACGTAATTCCAAAAGGATTTCGGGTGTAGCTTAAGTTTGCGCTGGATGCCTCGTTGGAAACTTGAAAAGTATTCACGACTGACTCGCTGGTACATGTGATTCAGCGTCACATAATGTAGTTTCAGAGGAAGCGTGTGATACTTCGTAAATCTTCTCAATGCTGCTCTCTTGATTGACTTCAACCTACGTAGCTCTCTCGTCTGCCAGGGAGCGTGAGACACTTTGTGGTGAGTTCTTTTCGGGACGTGTCTGTCAATGACATATGCCAAGACATGTGAAAAGGTTTGCGCTGCAGCCTCAACGTCATCTGGATCAAGGATGTTCTCCCATACCATGCTAGACAATACATCTATGATGCTACGGTGGTCAGCTTTACGGAAGTCATAAGAAACCGTAGCAGTATAGTCGCCGAAATCACGCACGAGTTTGTCCTCAACAGTGACAATTAGAGGAGGGAACTAGCTTAGTTAGTGCACAAAGAGCCGAGGAAATTGATGGAGCCCTGTCCTGTGTGCTCACGAAGCAGAGGTCCAAACTACGACCATTTTCGTTAACTACATGGTTAATTTGAGAAAGCGTCGCTGCGCTATAGTTGTCGAGAAGGCTAATAGCTACTGCGTGAAATGTAAAGCTATTAGGATCTGGATACAGGAATCCGCTATGAGATGGACTCCACGAACCGCCTGGCAGATTGAAGTCACCAAAAATGAATATCTCATCAACTGGAGTGGAACTTTCGACAACTGTGAAAACTGACCGACAGTGAGTATCGATGAGTTCCTTGTCGCGGACTCGATCAGGTGGAATGTACAGAGCGCATAGAAATAGTGTGCGATCACCCAGATTGATGGCTGTCCAAACCTGCTCCACATTGCTCCATGAATCGTTCTCGATGGCCTTTGCATCCAACCCGCTACGGACAGCTACAAGAACACCTCCACCAGTAGATTTACGGTTGTTGTTAGGATTCCGATCGCAACGAAAGACCTCGTAGTCAGGACCGAAGACTTGACTGGAAAGCGTTCGATAATCGAGCCACGTTTCGCACAGGACAATAATATCGTAGCAACGATCCGATAAGGCTAGGCAGTACTATTCAACATCAGAATTCATTCCACCGGCGTTTTGGTAGAAGATCACGACGTCTTGCTTGCGGCAAGGAATCGAACAACTGCTATCCCTGGAAATGATATTAGCCATAGTCTATTTATTTATTTATTTCATTTATTTCATTTCGTCAAGCCAGTGTAGACTACATACAATGATTATTACAATGTTTACTTACATACTATGCATTAATTCTATTCTGTTTTAGCTTAGTTTGTATTTGCTGCTTGGACATAGTGATGTCAATAGTTCCGCAATGCAAATTATATAGGCGCATCATTCGATTGATTGGGCTATTTTTTGCATAGTTTGTTCTGTACGATGTTTCTGAAAATAAATTCCGTGTTCTAAGATATCGACAAGGTGTGTAAAAATTTAATTGTGCGAGAATTTCTGCCGAGTCTGTACGGGGTTTTAACATCATTTCGAAGACCCGCTTTCGTGCTGTAATTTGTTGAGAAGTGTCAAGCGCACTATTATCAAAGGTTAAGGACGAGTGAGAGTGGCAAAGTTCCAGCACATATTGGACAATTGGTTCATTCGGCAAGAGAGTCGTCCTAGTGCTTTTGTTTCTGGTTTTAGACGTTTAGACAGTGATGTTTGTGTACTTGAAAGTTCCCTTATATCTAATCATGGTTGGCCTGAAGAGTTTTTGGACTACACAGTTAAAATTATTTTGTAATTTTACACGAATTTCCATGCATATAAAAAGAGCATACATA